CTGGGCTCATGCGATCCTCCCATCTCAGCCTCCCGAGTAGCTAGGACTACAGGCACGTGCCACTGTGCCCGGCTAGAGCTGGGATTTGAACCAAGCTGTCTTGCTCAAGTGTCAGTTCTGATCTTGTTCTGCTTTAGCCTCTCCACTGTTCCCCTCCACTCTGATGCTTCCTCTCCCACAGCCACGGCGCTACACCACAGCCACAGGGCTCTGCAGCTTCCCAGCCAGGTGACCCTGGGAAATCTTTCCTCTTGATGACCACCTGTACCCACTGTAAGGTTAGCCAAGAAAAAGGAGAGTAGACCCAAAGTCAGGCAAACAAGTTTTTTTTTTCTTTGAGATGGGAGTCTCGCTCTTGTTGCCCAGGCTGGAGGGCAAGGGTGCGACCTTGGCTCACTGCAACCTCTGCCTCCTGGGTTCAAGCAATTCTCCTGCCTTCTGAGTAGCTGAGATTACAGGTATGTGCTACCAAGCTCGGCTGATTTTTGTATTTTCAGTAGAGACGGGGTTTCTCCATATTGGTCAGGCTGGTCTTGAACTCCCAACTTCAGGTGATCCACCCGCCTCAGCCTCCCAAAGTGCTGGGATTAGGACGTGAGCCACTGCACCAGCCTCAAGCAAGTTTTATTAACCTGCCAGGCTGCCCCGTAACAATCAAGGAGGCAGTCCCAAGCTTACAAAATGAGGGGTTTATATGGGGTGCGAGGGGCATAAAGGAGTTTCAGGACTGAGATAATCTATCCGCTTGTAACAGGCACAGAGATAGTTTGTCAACTTGTGACAGACGTACACTACATCATCCAGTGACTTTTGTGGAGGCAGTTCTAAAAAAAACAGCATTTTGGCCGGGCGCAGTGGCTCAAGCCTGTAATCCCAGCACTTTGGGAGGCCGAGGCGGGTGGATCACAAGGTCAAGAGATCGAGACCATCCTGGTCAACATGGTGAAACCCCGTCTCTACTAAAACTACAAAAAAAAAAAATTAGCTGGGCATGGTGGCTCATGTCTGTAATCCCAGCTACTCAGGAGGCTGAGGCAGGAGAATTGCCTGAACTCAGGAGGCGGAGGTTGCGGTGAGCCGAGATCGTGCCATTGCACTCCAGCCTGGGTAACAAGAGCGAAACTCCGTCTCAAAAAAAAAAAAAAAAAAACACACCATTTTACAGGTATGTATAAAACAGGAATTTACAAGTATGGAAACAAACATTTGCTTTCCCTGTCCTTCCCGAGCTGCCCAGATGGCTGTCATCAGGCTTTGTTTAATTGTAGCGCCTGGATAGGCGTTCAGGAATGTAGCTGCACAGCAATCAGAGTCGGGGGGCAGGGTCAGCTTGTGCGGAGGGGGTTTCTGAGGTAGCTTGTCCCTAACACCCACCTGGTTGTAGGAAGATCACACAAGATGCTACATGGGACACTGTCTAGCCTATTGCAAGAGCCTAATCAACAACGGCAATTATAATTACTATCAGTGATCAGTACTAGGAACAGTGATAGCAATTTCTTGCTCATTTCCACGGTCCCTGAACTCTGAACATGTCACAGAGGCTCAGTGTCTTATGATTTGAGTCCTTCCTTCCAACTCATTTTCACAGAAATCAGAGGCAACTTCTGAACCAGCTCTAGAACCTGGGAACAGAAGGGTGCTGGTGGGCAGAGAACTGAGGAGGCAGATAATCCAAAAATAATTGATCCCAGGTCGTGGAAAGCATTTTGTTTACGGCAGCAGACTGACCTTCCCAATTATCTTCTGCTTAGGCTAATGTTACAGCCTACCTTCCCCAGCAGACGAGATCACCACATGTACTTGCTACCAGTCCTGCAGGGGACGGGGTCAGGCTGAGGCTAGCTGCCTCTCGATGAAGTATAAACTGAGGCACAGAGGGCCTGAATCAAAGCCCACAAGAGTACGCTCGGCTCAAGAGCTGGACAGGATGCTGATCCTAAGCTATATCCAAGGCCCATTGCTTTGTAACTCTCATTAGAGTTTGAAGGATGGTTCGCGCTGTTCCCAGAAACTCCGTCTGCAGCAAGAATCTTGTCTGCAGATCAGAGAGGGTCCAGGCAAGGGTGCAACATCAGACCCTGAAAATTCCTCAATGTTTCATGGGCCCAGTCTGGCCTCACAATGAACCTTCATGTGAGTCCATGGGACAGCAGGATATCTGCCATCTCCGTATGCATAAGAAAACTGGCATCATAAACAAAGAAAACCGGCATCAAAGGGGTAAAGCCACTTGCCTGAGGTCCCCCACCTCCCATCCCCAACACTTCATGGCCACCTGGCCAGGCCCTTCTACCCATGAAGTGGAGAATCTCTCAATTCCCTCCACACTTTGTGGAGGACCCTCCCTCAATCTCACCTGGTAACCCTACCCCCTTGGCGATCAAAGGTCAAGTCAGCTTCTCTGACTTTCCAGGTCTCTGGGAAGGAAGCCCTCTGGGGGCAGGAAGTTGGTTGTGCTGACTCATAGGCCAAGGGAGAGTAATCCAGGAACTTGTCACTCCGTTACCATGGCATTGGGGCAGCTGGCACCCCCTCCTTTCTGAAGCTCACTTACAGGCTAGGCGTCTAAGGTGGGGTGGGATATGGCAGGACCCCCATCCTGCACCCAATCCCATCTCTCCTATAGATTTCCAGCTTCCGGGTACATCCAGTTACCCTCTTACAACTGCAGAATGGAGAGTCATGGGGTTCCATCCTTCCCTGCCTGCATAACTTTGGGGATTCCATCAGCAGAGCCAGGAAGCCTTCTCCACCCAAGCAGGGGAAAATAAAAAGTCCCCAAGAGACAGACTGGGTAGGCCAAGGCCCACTCTATGCCATTGGCTGCCCCAGTCTCCTGACTTCCCCACACTGTTTTTAGCAAGAGGAAGGAGATTACACTTGACCATGAGGCCTGTCTTCAGGAGGAAGAGAGGACTTGAGAAGGCAGGAAAGTGTCATTCATCTGGTTTTCACCCCTCAGGAGTGAGAGGGGGCCTGGGGCAGTTATAAACTCATGACAAGAAAAGGGGGAACCATTATCTTAAACCTGGAGCACTGCAGGGAAAGGCTGACAACTGGTAGCTCCCTCCCTGTGCAATTAGAAAAGTTTCTTTGGCTTAAAAGAAACTCTTTTGTCCTGTTTCTCATTTTCTAGGCCTGTCCTAACATGTCCGTGGCTGGACATCTCTCAGAGTTCCTATAGACAGCAATGGGTACCAGTGCTTGCGCAAGTTCTGAATGCCAGCACACCCGAGTTCAAATCCTGCTCCCCAGGACTGGCTGTGCGGTCTTCGGAAAGCCCTTTGACAAAATCACCACAGAGAGTTGTTGAGGAGTTAAGGCACCTAGCAGAGTGAGTGTTTAGCAAATGCCAGGTCTTTTCAGAGACTCTCCAGGCACGAGGCAGAACCTGGTCTCTTTGGATTTGAAACTAACAGCAGAATTCTGTCCTATCTGAACTAAAAATGTGAATGCTGTCCCTTTATACAAACACACTCCCTGATTTCCTCTCAGGGGCTCCCTCAATTTTATTCTCAAAGTCAGAGAAACTTTTGAGTAGCAGCCTTCTTTGACAGATTCAGGAATGAGGCCCAGAGAGGGAGAGTGAGCTGCCTGAGGTCCCAAAGGCAGCTAGCAGGCGAGCAGCCAGGGCTGCTTCCCACTCCCCATCTCCCCGCCCAGCGTGCTCTGGGCCTCTAAAAAATTCAGGCTCTGCTGCAAGGCAAAGCAGGGAGAGTCCCAGACACACTCCCTTCCCAAGAAAACACGAAGGGTGCAGCCACTCCCTGCCTCAAGGCCGAGGGCTTAGCTCACTTGTGGCGGGGGCAGGAGTGCTCTGGTATACCGAACTGCGGGAAGGGGAGGCAGAGTCCATTCACGCAGGCTGATATTACCGAAAGTGATAATAATGTAGTTATCATACAGTGACCTGCGCCAGAGAAATACCAAGATGCTAAGCCTGAAGGTATCCCCAGAGCCACTTCTCAGGCCCATCCATGCCCTCAACCACCCAACACCTCAGAGGTTTCATACTCCAGCTCCTTGGGATGTGGGGGAAGGAAAGCATGACTAGCTCCTAGATCAAGGAGCCCATTGGGCCGGGCGCGGTGGCTCACGCCTGTAATCCCAGCACTTTGGGAGTCCGAGGCGGGCAGATCAAGAGGTCAAGAATTCAAGACCAGCCTGGTCAACATGGTGAAACCCCGTTTCTACGAAGGATACAAAAATTAGCCAGGTGTGGTGGCACCTGCCTGTAATCCCAGCTACTCGGGAGGCTGAGGCAGGAAAACTGCTTGAACCCTGGCGGCAGAGGTTGTAAGTGAGCCGAGATCGTGCCACTGAACTCTAGCCTGGGCGACAGTGCAACACTCCGTCTCGGAAAAAAAGAAAGAGCCCATTCAACGGGAACACGTCCCTCCCTCCTCCCCCACACGCAGTGACTCAGTGGCAAGTTTCTGGAGAAAAAAACTGAAGGTGGGGACTGGTGGTCAAACCCCCAGGCTGAGGCTCTCGGAAAATGCGGCGGAAAAGGGGTGTCAGGAAATCCCCTCTACGAGGTGATAAAAGAACACGGCCAATATCTTCCGGCCGCAGGTGTGGGGGCACAGGGGAGACTTTCTCTTCGTCCCCACCTCCTGACGCCCCCAGATGGGTTCGAACCTTTGAGTCCTGACTTTCCCCTCTGCACACACGTGGGGCGGGTTCTTACAGAACTAACTTCGGGATGCATCTACCACTCTGGCTGGGGCAGGTGTGGCCATGTGGAGGCACCCGAGCCCCCCAAGCCGGGACTCCGGCATGGCTGGTCAGCACCCCAAAACGGAGTCACTTGGCGCCCACCTGCGCTCACAGCCAGCGCCTCTGCCCCCCGCGCAGCGCGCACCGCGGCTTCTCCCGGCTCTTCCCTTTACCCGGCCCGCCCGGCCCGCCCAGCCCGCTCCCCAGCGGGCCCCGTCGGGGCTGCGGGAGGGAGCGGCGGGGACAGCAGAGGGGGGAGGGTAGGGCGGCCAGCTCACCATGGCGAAGCCGGAGAGCAGCGCCGAAGTCCGGCTGGAGGCTTTCAGCTTGGCGCGGCTCAAGTAGAGCTTGCGCCAGGACAGCGCCTGCATGGAGTGCTCGTTGAGGCTCATCACCTCGGAGTAACTCTGGCCGATCCAGTCCGGGTAGGTGAGGGCGGGTGGCGGCGGCGGGGCCCCCGGGGGCTCCCCGTCTCCGCTGTGGCGGCGGCTCCGGCGGCTGCCGCTGGTGGTGCTGCAGCCGCTCGGGGGAAGCTCGGGGCTGCTGCGGCTCGGGGGCGGGGCGGGCTCCGGATGCATGGAGCACGCCGCCGAGGCGCGGGCCGGCCCGGGCGCCGCCTGCCCCCCACGCGGGCCCGGCCTCGCCCGGCCGGCCGCACAGGACGAGGAGGACGAGGTCGAGGGAGTGCCCGCTGCCCCAGCTTGCAGGCCCGCGGCGCCGTTGGCAAGAGCCCCCCGGAGGTAGCGACCCGAGCTTGCGCGCGGGCGGCGTCCCGGATCCCCGGGGCCGGGACCCCGGCGCGCGCCGCGATTGGCCGCCGCCCCAGGCTGTTTTGCATGCTCCCCGCCCACCTGGGCTCCGCCCACGGAAAGGTGGGCGGGATTGTGGGCGTCACGTGACCCGCCCGCTCCGACGGCACTGCCCCGGGTCCCTGGCGCGCCCCCGCCCCCGCCTCTTCCTGGAAGCGCCCGGCTGCCCCGGGACTCGCAGTGCTCGCGCTCCGGCTCCTGGCGCCGCCCCTCTCCGCAGCTGCTCCCGTGGCCCTGCTCCCGGAGCGCGGACTCCTAGGTCGGGCCGCCTGAGGTCACCTCTGGGCTCCTCCTGAGCCCCGTGTCCCCTTTGGAACAAGTTGGCTCAAGGTCTGTAGGAAAAAGAGCGGGCCGAGGTCTAGACTTTATTTGGCGCTTACTGGGTGCCGACACTGGTCTAGGTGCTGAGGCTGGGTAGGGTGGTGAAGGAGATGGGCAAAATCCCGTGCCCTCATGGAGCCTGTGTTCTGGAGGGGAAGACACACAAACAAACACCAATGAGCCCATTTCATAATAGTTTAGAAAGTGAAAGTGTAGAGAAAATAAAGCGGCCAGACGAGGTGGCTCACACCTGTAATCCCAGCACTTTGGGAGGCCGAGGCGGGTGGATCACCTGAGATCAGGAGTTGAAGACAAGCCTGGCCAACATAGTGAAGCCCCCTCTCTACTAAAAATACAAAAATTAGGCCGGGCGCGGTGGCTCAAGCCTGTAATCCCAGCACTTTGGGAGGCCGAGGCGGGTGGATCACGAGGTCAAGAGATCGAGACCATCCTGGTCAACATGGTGAAACCCCGTCTCTACTAAAAATACAAAAAATTAGCTGGGCATGGTGGCGGGCTCCTGTAATCCAGCTGCTTGGGAGGCTGAGGCAGGAGAATCATCGCTTGGACCTGGGAGGCGGGGGTTGCAGTGAGCCGAGGTCACGCCATTACACTCCAGCCTTACAGCCTCGGTGAAGAGAGTGAAACTCCGTCTCAAAAATAAATAAATAAGTAAAGCAGGCTAAAGCATGTGAATAGTACGGGAGCTGCAATTTTAATTTTAAAATACACAGATTCGAGCCGGGCGCGGTGGCTCAAGCCTGTAATCCCAGCACTTTGGGAGGCCAAGGCGGGTGGATCACGAGGTGAAGAGATCGAGACCATCCTGGTCAACATGGTAAAACCCCGTCTCTACTAAAAATACAAAAAAAAAATTAGCTGGGCATGGTGGCGCGTGCCTGTAATCCCAGCTACTCAGGAGGCTGAGGCAGGAGAATTGCCTGAACCCGGGAGGCGGAGGTTGCGGTGAGCCGAGATTGTACCATTGCACTCCAGCCTGGGTAACAAGAGCGAAACTCTGTCTCAAAAAAAAAAAAAAATAGATTCAGGGCAGGGAGCTTTTTCTTTCTTTTTTCTTTTTTTTTAGGGTAGGGATTTTTGGTCTCTTGACCACTTTGTTCACCTGTGTTCACCAGCATCTGATATGTACTGGGGTGGCCAGTAGCTATATTTTTTGAACCAGTGAATCCTCAAACCCATTCAGCAGGTGTCTTCTGAGCAACTATTAAGTGCTATGTTGAGGGATTCCAGGAAAATGATAACATTCATGGAATCTTATATATCAGTGGGGGGTGGAGAGGGACAGGAAATAAAGGTCACACCTTTCTGACTTAGCTCACATTTTAGCTGAGACGAGCCTGCCATGCAAACAGACAGGATTTAGCTTTCCAGGGTGGCGAGAGAACTGCTCATGCCAAGACTCTGAAGCAGGGATATTTGGCTGTTGGAGCATCGGAAGGACAATTTTGGGGAGCAGAGGTGAGGTAGGGGTGTGTGCAGGGACTGTGCTAGGGAATATCTCCTAGGACGGCAGCTCCAGGACAGGGACCTTTACTGTCAGCTTCATAGCCCCATCCTCAGCATCTAGAATATTCCTCGGCACACACTCGGTGCTCTAATTTTTTGTTGAGTGAATAAATATGGGAGAGACAGGAATGAGTGACAAGCATGTGACATTGCAGGTCAGCGAGGTGAAACTTAACTCTTCTCACCACTAGGGGGCGCGCCCCCACCCAACCGTTAGAGGATGAAAACTTCACCCCAAAAAAGTCTCTGGCTCCCCCAGAGGACTTTATTGGCGTTTTTGAAATTAAGATGGGGGCGAGGCGCGGTGGTTCACACCTGTAATTTCAGCCCTTTGGGAGGCTGAGGCGTGCGGATCACAAGGTCAGGAGTTCGAGACCAGCCTGGCCAACATGGTGAAACCCCTGTCTCTACTAGAAAAAATACAAAAATTAGCCAGGCATGGGGTGGCGCGTGCCTGTGAATCCAGCTACTTGGAAGGCTGAAGCAGGATTATTGCTTGAACCCGGGAGGCAGAGGTTGCAGTGAGCCGAGATCGTGCCACTGCACTCCAGCCAAGAGTCTATCTCAAAAAAAGAGGGGGAAAAAAAGGGCACAACAACAATGAAGATGGGGAACTTGGAATTTGAAATCCCACCCCACCAGCCTTGCTTCTCGGGTGGCTTTTGTACTTCTTATCCCTTTTGCTCAGCATTTGTGTCTCAGCTCAAATAACACCTCCAGAGAGACCTTCCCTCTCTGCTGAAGTTGCCCCAGCATCACAATCTGTCACCTCAACTTGATTTCTTCCCTTTATAACTGTGATCACTACAGCATCTGAAATCATCTAGCTTATGCATGTGCCTTCATCTGTTTGTTTAAGCATTAAAAACAAAAGTGTGGCTGGGTGTGGAGGCTCACACCT